GTCCTGCACTGGCTTTTATTTCCAGAGTCCCTTAATTATCTATTTCATTAGATGATGGCCAAGTCCTGGGATTTGGTAAAATGCTCTCTGCAACTGAGGCATTTTCTTGTAGTGCAATCACACACTAATGAGAAGTGAGTCTTGCCATAGTAACAAACAAAATGAGAACCAAACAAAAAGTAATTAGAAACCCTTGCGATTGTTGCTCAAAATGTAATTCTGGAAAATACACTTTAAAGCACCTTACATACCATTTGCCCATTGAGCAACTTAACCAACTACTGGCAAATTTCATAAGCAAAGAGTACACTTATCATGATGAGCACTGGGTAATGTTTAGAATTGTTGAATCACTGTATTTTACACCTAAAACTAATATAACACTATATATTAATTATACTGTAATTAAAAAACTTAAAAAATTATCATATGCAATTTTAGGAGAAAACTTAATAAGAAGTAGGGATTTTCTGATTTCATAATGTCCCAGGCAGTCTCCCCAGAAGCCAGTCAATCCATCAGCCTTCAGTAGGTATATATTAAAGCCACCTAGTAGCATGGTGTATATTCTAGGGACTGGAGTTTACTTTAATAATTGGGGAGTATTAAGTATTTTGGAATTTAAACCTATAATATGAGCTGGAAGAGTGCCTTAACACAAGAGCAATTTTGGTGGTTTCCAAGTTCTCTGAAGTGGCCCATGTTGTGAAGTTGGACCACTCTCAGTTCACACTGGCTATCTTTGTATATTTAATATGTCTAGGACTGTCCCAAAGGTAAGGACTGGTACAAATCTAGAGGATTCTCTTAGGACTTATATCAAAACGCAAGATCTGAAGGGCAAGAAGGTTTTTGAATGCCTAAGAACACAATTTGGTTTCTGGAAAAGAAAAAAAAAAAAGGCCAAATCAAACTAGTTCTCTAGAGTACCAACACGGACAAGCTTGTGCGTGCACACACACGCATCATACACATATTCACATTCACTTGGACCTATACAAAACCACCAGAAGGCCTTCAGAAGACCAAGAGGCCAATCTAATAAACAGAAGTGTCCCTCTCCAGCCTTCTCCAGCACTGAAGTCAAACTAATCCAGTCTTCCACCTCCTGCCTCTGCTTGCTGAAGCTAGATTTACCTACTACCATTGCTGCCACCAAGGATAAAGTCAGTGTTTGGGGACATTAGTAAGGACTTATTTTATGATACTGACTGTGCTTTGTATTGGACATACAGGGACAAAAGCAGTACTCATTCTTCATTCCTTGGGCACTTCAAAGAGTTTACTAGAGCAGTTCTAGCTAAAGAATAAGAAGTTACCTTGGTATGGGTTTACAGCAGTTGAATAGACATACTTTGTGTATCAAGGGATAGTGTAGTACAGGCACAATCCAAGTCAGACCTGGGAGGTGGATCCTAAGGAGCTGTCCTCATTTCAGCTCTGGGTCATGAATTAAGTGTAAAGGAGTAGGAATTTGATGACCATCACAGTTTTGATTTTCTCTCCATCATTGTACCCTCTAATTAGCTATTAGTTTTGTTTCATTCTTTGCTTCATTCACAGGTAATCAGCCATTCCCTTTAAAATGAGCACTTGGGATTTTATATAAGAAGCACAAAAGCCAATGAAACCTATTTTAAAAGTCAGTTTATTGGGGCGCCTGGGTGGCTCAGTCGGTTAAGCGACTGCCTTCGGCTCAGGTCATGATTCTGGAGTCCCGGGATCGAGTCCCGCATCGGGCTCCCTGCTCAGCAGGGAGTCTGCTTCTCCCTCTGACCCTCCTCCCTCTCGTGCTCTCTGTCTCTCATTCTCTCTCGCAAATAAATAAATAAAATCTTTAAAAAAAAAAAAAA